AAATCTGAAATATTTGGGTGTTCTTTTTGCAAAATATGAAAAACTCTTGGGTGGTTATTTTGTGAAATCTGAAATATTTGGGTGTTCTTTTTGCAAAATATGAAAAACTCTTGGGTGGTTATATTGTGAAATCTGAAATATTTGGGTGTTCTTTTTGCAAAATATGAAAAACTCTTGGGTGGTTATATTGTGAAATCTGAAATATTTGGGTGTTCTTTTTGCAAAATATGAAAACTCTTGGGTGGTTTATTTGTGAAATATGAAATATTTGGGTGTTCTTTTTGCAAAATATGAAAACTCTTGGGTGGTTTATTTGTGAAATCTGAAATATTTGGGTGTTCTTTTTGCAAAATATGAAAACTCTTGGGTGGTTTATTTGTGAAATCTGAATTTTTGGTTGGCTCATTTGTGAAATCTGAATTTTTGGTGGGCTCATTTGTGAACTTCTGAAACTTTGGGGGGCTCATTTGTGAAATTCTGAAACTTTGGGTGGCTCATTTGTGAAATTCTGAAAACTTTGGGTGGCTCATTTGTGAACTTCTGAAACTTTGGGTGGCTCATTTGTGAAATTCTGAAACTTTGGGTGGGAGAATAGAGAAGGAATGATAGATTGACCCCTATTTGTGAAATATAAAAATCTTTTTTTTTTCTTTTTTTTTTTTTTGGGTGGCATGTTTGTAAAAAAAAAAAAAGTCTGAAAGCATTGGTAGAACATTTTAAAAATGCACTTTTATTCATTACAAATGTCCATGACAAGCATAATTGGATTTATTTTTGTTCCTATTTGTTGTGCTCCGCTGTTGGAACATATGCTGAAATATTTCTTAATGCTGAAAATTACATTTCTTTTGGGGCTCTCACCTACTTCTTGCTGCCCCCTTGTTGGAATACATGTTAGAGGCTGTTTCAAATGCTGGAGATTACATTTCTTTTGGGGCTTTCACCTATTTCTTGCTGCCCCCTTGTTGGAATACATGTTAGAGGTTGTTTTAAATGTTGGAAATCATATTTTTCGGGGCTTTCACATACTTCTTGCTGCCCTCTCATGTTTGGAACATAAGCTGAATGAAAATTTTGGTTTTAAACCTTTTTGGGGTTTGCTTTAGAAGCTTGGTTTTACTTCATGTTGTTGCCCTCTCATGTTTGGAGTATAAGCTGAGTGAAAATTTTGGTTTTAAACCTTTTTGGGGTTTGCTTGGAGGCTTGGCTTTGCTGCATGTTGCTGCCCTCCCATGTTTGAAGCATGAGTTGAATGAAAACTTTGGTTTTATGCCTTTTTGGAGCTTGATATGGTGGTTCGGTTCCACTCCTTGCCATTGCTTCCCTATTTGAGATACATGTTGAGCATGGAGTTTAATCTCTCAAAGGCTTTTGGAGCCTGTTTTTAGGGGTTTTGATGTTATCCCTTGTGTTGCCCCTCTATTCGAAGCTTATTCATGAAATTTCACTTAATTTTGGGGTTTGGGAGATTTTAAGCTTCATTTTGGAGAAGTATTTGGTGGATTTGATCAATCCTACGTCTTTGGGGTTTGAAAAATCAGCGCAAAGCGACCCTTTATGTTTGTTAGGAAAGATCTTGGGCCCTCTTTTTCTAGGTCTTTTCGATACGAGTTTTGAGGACTGATCTATTCTCCTTCTCGGTGTTTTAGATGGATCAGTTCCTCCTCTCTCTC